AGGGAAATTTTCTAATCTGGTATCTAAATGTGTAGACCTTGTCTCAAATCTAGCAAAATCAGCTTTGTTTGATTCTGCATTCATTGATTGAGCAATACTATATAAATCTTTTATAATCAACATGATCTCATTCAACTCTTCCTTAGGATCTACTACATTATTAACCAAATCGACTAAACTTGAAGACAAAGTGGCCTCCTTGGCCAACAAAGCTCTTAACATCTTTCTCTTATCATCAACTGTCTTATTTGGGACATTTTTACCTCTTATGAAAAGCTCATAAGATAACTCCTGATTTCAAATGATTAACCTGGGTAGACTACATTTTTCAAAAATTGGTTGAAAGCAAACACACAAAATAACTGAAATCAACCTCAACAACTAGTATAAAATATGATAAATTTAAGAAACAACCGTTTCCATTTATCACCTGATAGTAAGTCTCACTTGCACTCCCGCGTACTGAAATCCAAAACTCAATCAGTTTGCTGCAACTTCTGCTCTTGACTTAGTAATCAGTTGGTAAACAAAAATGAGGTCTTTAACCTGTCTCCTAAAAGTTCACACTTCCACTAACAAGGACTAAAAAAAATGGTTTTAAACAACATGGGACAACATGGACACTAACAAACAACATAAACCGTACATACAAGGAAAGACAAAATACTAATAATATTGAAAACTTGACCTTTGAGTGAGCTACACTGAATAATACCAAAATAAACCAACTCTTGTTCCGAAAACTAAATGAGACTGCTCCTAGTCAAAACTAAAACAGCATCTCCTGATCACAAATATTACACCTGTGGTCATTCAGATACAAGAAAGGATACACAATAAACAAACAGTCTACTACTGAGACTAAACTTGTCGAATCTTCTCTAGGACTCACAATGACTACCCCTCGTACAACAACATTAATTAACCCTTGGCATTTAAATACACCTTCAGAGACGGTTAATTAGAAGACAAACTGCATAATACTACTTCTCAACTACATAGCTCAAAAGTCACTCAAACGAATACACACATTTACTCAAAATGACCCAACAAATAAAAAATTACAAAAACCGATTATTCTGTAAACTTTGTCGAATCAATAAAAAAATAAATGTAACAGTAACTCTATAATTTGCTACTGTTTTTAAATTCTTTTCAATATCAATAGTTCAATCAAAAATTATATTTAAATATTCAACTCAAATATTTGCTTTCATTTACCATTACATATAAGAAACAATACATGTTAATATACACAAATATAAATTTTGGTACAAAATACATACATATAATACAAATACTCTACTGTTTGTGAGACACTTTGGGGCACTATTCAAAAGGAAAAAAGTTTCATATAAATGGCAGGGAACTGAGGAAACTGAAAAAGATATGTGGCTTCGGGAAAAGGATCAAAAATCTAAAAATTGCCCCACGCTATGGGCGTCAAAATTGTAACGACAGGTTCAATTGGCGCAAATCTAAGACAAGCCCCACGTTGGGCGCCAAAATTGTAACGACTATTTTGCTTACCACAGGGTAAGAATATGGGGGACAAGATTGGGCAAACAAAATAATCGAAACAAGTGCATACGACAATCAGTTGGTTGTTGGAGAGCTGGGTCGTGGATAAGTTGAAGATATTGGGGGTTAGATTGGGGCAACTACAAAAAAAAAGAAATATAAGGTACTTATACGAATCTATTGGACAAACAGAATGAAAATAAACGGAAACACCTCAAGAAATTTAATATAGGGCGCCACTTGAGGTGCCCAATTATACCTATTACAACCACTAGTTGTAACTAGGGAAATAATTGTATAACATAAAAAATATAGAAAAAAATATCTTTTTCAAATAAAACTCAAAACAGATCAGAGAAACAAATTAAACATTTATTTTTGTCTCAAACAAAACAGATCAAAAATACATATTATAAAAGAAACATATCATATAACATAATACAAATAACAAAAACTTACATGTTCTTTGTTTACTATATTATGGCCAATTAGATTATAAAAAATTAAGGATCCCTTTTAATGAAAACATATAAATTTAACCTTATATATGAAATATCGTTTCTACATAATAATCAAATTAAAATTGTCATAACAAAAAAACAAATTAAGCTTGCTGTCAGGTATCACATTTAATTTTGATGACAAAGAATGAAAGCAATTATTACTTTAGCCAAAAAATATGTCTTTACTTTGAAAAATTAATATATTGAATTGTTACCTTAAAATTTACATATTTCGCATTTAAACTTTGAAACTTGCTACATCTCTGGTACTGAAACTGCAAGGACGAAACTCTCGAACAAGGGGAACCATTTCCATACTCAGGAACAAAAGAAGACCATCTCCATAATTTGGAACGCCGATCTGACGTAGATGGGTTGTATCAAACAAGAAAAACGACAACAAAGCTAAGGGACATCCTATATAATACTTTTCAAAACGGTATCTATACAAATCTTCTAATGTACTCCAAAGAAAAAAATAGAAATATTACATAGAGTCTAATATTCTCAACCAATTTTGCCGGTCTCTTTTCCGACAAATCAAAACGTCTTCTCCATTCGAATCTTTTCTTCCACTCTACATTGTAGCACGTCTGCCCTGCTTGGAACTTAAAAGTCGACTTATTGTCACATGTCTGCCCTATTTGAAATCTCTCAGTCGACTCTTTTATCACATGTCTGCCCTGTTTGAAATCCCTAAGTCGACCTTGCTTCCGTCTTGCAGCTAACCTGTCCCCACAAACTCAAGAACCAAAACAATATCCCCTCGCTCGTATCGACAAAAAAACCCAACTTTTAAATGTTCCTTTATTGCCTAAACAAACAAATATTCTTTTTTTTGACCTTCGTCCAATAACGAAAAACAACTATAATATTAGGGGAATTCATGTTTATTTCGTTTTTAAACGAAGAAAACAAATAAAACCTTTTTTTTATCAGGGGGCATCATAAATTTACATAATACAAATTAACAAAATACGTGCGTATTTTAAAGTTGAGTTTTACCTGACTTATAACAAAAGGTTCGATATTTGAATCTAAACACAGACAAAAAATATATCCAGTGTTATTACGCATTTTAGAAATCTAGTCAAAAAAACTTGAAATATTTACATTTAACTTCTCCGTAGTTATATTAAATCGATCGATTTCTTGGCCAAAACAACAGGGACGTACCACAGAAACTTTTCTATACACTTTAAATAAAAAAAAACGCTACAGGTTCACGTAGATTACGATCACATGTGAAAGCAATCGGGCGTCCTCTGGAAACGAGTAATATCGGCTAATCCTTTCACCACCTGTGCACTAACACAGATGCAAACGCAACCAAAACGGTCTTTGGTTGCGTAAGACAGTTGGAAATATCATTAAATATTATGTTTATAGCATTTTTTATATAAAAAAAGCTTGCATGCCATTCAAGATTTACGTCGTCAGAACCCCACAGCGTTTCCAAAACATCAGAATATTTAGAAAGTGAGGAATTTTTTAAATGTCAACTATTTGTCAAACTTATATTAACAGTAAATACACTTAGTTTTAAGACTACTGCAACACATTAAAATACATAAGAAAACATTGTAATACAAAATGATATATTCTAAGTTTTAATCTTACCTCTTTTAGGGCTTTAATAGTAAAAACGTCCCGCCATTATTTCTTCTTCAAAATAATCTATCTTATATGAAAGCTTATCAGCTTTCTACAGACTATTTATTTGGTTTGGCATATCACAATCACAATAGACAACAATAATTAGTTTTTAAAGATATTAATTTAAATTTAATATGTAGTTATAAATATAATTTATTAATATATATTATATTATGATCAAATTGTGTAAGAAATCAAAACATAAACAAAATTCCTATTGTAAAAAATCGGCAACACTTTATACACTTTTGCCACACGCTTAACTGTCAATAAAACTATCAAGTATTTCTGTATCAGTTGCGTAGAATTGTCTAATATATTTAATTAAAATTAAACCTAAATTAGACTTAAAGAGTTATTTCATAAAATTTATATTATTAATAATAAGAAATATTTTTGGTTATTTAATCAATATAATTCTAAAATTTCCAATACATTTTTCTGATTATTACACCATTTTGACGCCTATAAAAAATCGAGCAGTTCCGTATGGGTTTCATATTATTAGCTGTGTTAGGAAAATTTGAACTCTAAGGTTGATGTTTTGGAAATTTTAAATACAAGTGACGTCACTTTGTATAAATCGTGACGTGCAAGTGTTTTACTTTCATGACAAATGGCATGACAATTATTACATTTTACCTAAGAAATTTGACGTTTCGATTTCCATTCCAGAAATCATTTTCAAAAAAGATTATTTCAAAAAATAGAAGTGTTAGTTACTATTTATAATAGAATGTTCTAATATTTTTTCACACTGAGGGGTGACATACTTTGGGCTCGATCTTGTAGGCAAATGGCCATGCTTTTAGTTGAAAGTTCTGAAGCTGCTGTTTTTATCCTCAGGATGATCTCAAATTCTGAATATTTTAATGAAACATTGTTGTAACCTTTTAATTGTAAAAATTATGGTTTTAACTAACGTTCATCAAAATTGACATTGTATTTCTTCAACCAATCTTAGTTATCTGATATTAATCATTTAGCGGAAGGTTGTTTTATGATTTCACTATGGAAGGTGCGTTATCCATGCCAGCATGCGGTAGGTGGTAATATCAATTAGACAATTGACTAACTTGGCTTGATCTTCTAAGCACTAACCATTATTTGAGGTGATCATGTCTCTGATTGAATTTCAAATGCTATAAAAGTATCTTCAGTGATACAGAGCTGCTGAATGGGTGTCATAATAATTAGTGAATAGTCATGCTACATAATTAAATTAAAAATGGGGGAACTTGTTGATTGAATTTCCAATTTTCTCTTACCTTTTTTACTTAAATTGGTGATTGGTGTTTAACTTGATTTATTTATTTTCAGACGATTATACATCTTCTGAAGACAGGTTACGAAGATGGAACTCAAAAGTTCGTCGTAAGATAATACCCTTGTATGACGAGGATGAAGCTTGTAAAGTTTTGTTTAGTTTAATGAAATGGTACACTGAGTAAGTATCTTTTTTTCTTTTTTGTATACTAACACTTACCATATCAATTTTTCACACTTTCTTTTTCACTGTTTTCACTAACTATAACTACTGATTAATACTTATTGTTAAAAATACGAAAACAGGCACACAAATAAACGAAAATAATAGTCATCATTATCATAAGTGGCTCGACAATCCGTTGTAGATCTTGGCCTGCTCACAAAGAAATCGCCACTTCTGTCGATTCCTGGCAACTTCCCTCCATCTTCTGATCCTTAGAATCTGTAGGTCTTCTTCCACATTATCAATCCATCTCCTTCGTGGTTGTCTTCTACTTCTTGTGCTCTCTGGTCTTGAAAATATTAATCTCTTCGTGTATTCGTGATCTGACATCCTAGAAATGTGTCTAGCCCATCTAAGTCTTCGCACTTTAACGAATTTCACAATATGTGGATCGGTGTATAACTGATATAGTTCAAAATTGTATCTTCGACGTCTTAGCCTATTTCCACTTACGGTCCCAAAAATCTTTCTAAGAATTTTTCTCTCAAAAATAGCAAGAAGTCTTTCATCGTTTTGAGATAAGATTTCAGCCCTGTTTCAGCCTCATATCAAAACCGGCCTTATTAAGGTGTTTATATATTGAGCTTTACTGCACGTTTTATATGTTTATTTTTTAAATGTTTCTAGAGACCGTGAACAGTTCTGTTTGCTATTGCTATGGGTCCGTTTATTTCGTCGCTTTTCGTGTTTGTTGCGTTTACTAGCGATCCAAGACATGTGAATTCTTTGACTTGCTCAAAGGTATGGTTATTAATTTGAATTCTCTGTTCGGGGGTTTTTAGAAACCAACATATATTTGGTTTTTCTTTACTACAAGTCCTAATTCACTTGCCGCGTCCACAAGCCTTTTAAAACACTGCACGATGTCTCTCCTACTCCTGCCCACTATAACTATATCGTGCGTCGAGAATGCGAGAATTTGCGTCGATCTATTAAAAATGGTTTCATTCATTCTAATATTTAATTGTCTGATTGCCTTTTCCAAGTCAATATTAAAGAGGAGACACGCCAGCGCGTCACCCTGTCTTAGACCATTATTAGTGTCAAAGAACGTAGAGTTTTCTCTACGTTTGCATTGTACGTTTAGCATTGTTAGTTGGGCCAACTTAAGGCTGTTTTAGCAGTTCAAGCACACTGCGATTTGAAATGAGCGTATCACTTACATTTCTACACTTCTTACGCAAGACTATCTTTACTCAGTGGCGTCGGCCAACGGGCAACAAATGCATTACTCTCCATTCAAATTTCTTTTAACACGAACTAACTGACCGTACGCTCATGAGATTTGATGTCACGTCAGATAACACGTTTCACTATTAGATTTTAGTAATTTTTAGCAATTTTCTTCAAAGTTTGAACACGCTTTTCTCGATTATTACTGGACACAGAAAGGTGAAAAAAAAAATCAACGATTACAGAAAAAAACTCTTTCAAGTGATGGGCGTAAAAAGTTTGGTTATAATAGAACGTTAAACAGTATAATCCAATTTTTCAACAGAAGTTTCAAAAAAATAAAAAAAGTAAAACCACCATTTTAAAAGCAGTAAAAGTTTCGAATATTGTGTCCAAATTTCAAGACATTTTGTCGGTAAATAACAGTTCCTAGGTTTTGGTGCACCGATAAAACAGCCTTAACTAACTTAGGTGGGATTTCAAAGTCTATCATTGCATTATATAATGCAGTTCTTTTCATACTGTCATAGACTGATTTGAAGTCGACGAAGAGATGGTGTGTATCTATGTTATATTCTAGTGACTTTTCTAGAGTCTGCATATGTGCTTGAATTTGATGTGTAGTTGACTTTCCAGCAGTAAATCTGCAACATCCTTTGTAAAATGTTTAGGCCTTACAATACATTGCCGAAGATTTTATACGCAGATGCTAACAGAATAATGCCTCTATAGTTCTTACACTCCAGTTAATCATCCTTTTTATGCAACAGACATATTATTCTCTTCATCCACTCTTCTGGTACTAATTGATTCTGCCATATAAGTACTATTAGTTTATCGATTGCTGCAAAAAGTTCATCACCATATTTTTTTATACATTTCAATTTGGTTTCAACGATTCCTGGGGCTTTATTGTCTTTGAGGTTTTGGTGGCATTTGACACTTCTCTTGTTGGGTCATCACTAGACTTCGGCAAATATGCAAATAAAAATGTAGAAAATATGCGCATAAATATGCACGTGTTTACCCGAAAATATGCAAATATTTTACAAAATATGCATACAAATAAATAAAAAAATCGTAAAATAGTAACAATTTTATTTAAAAAAAGAGTGTACATAACTAAATATTTAACTACATCATTTTTAAGTATGAATAAACTTATTTAGAATTATGGTAACAATAAATGACCAAGTGGTGTTCAAAATTTTCTAACAAAAACTTGTGGCTTCTGTCTGAGTACATATATTTATATATGGAAAAACTTCGTTCAACATCAACTGATGTAACGGGAGCATTTTTCAAACTAACCAAAACATTTGGTTCTAAATTAATTGTTTCCGAAATATTTCCAGCTAGAACACTGACTACTTCAGAAAGAATATGGTAACCTTTATTTTTTTCCATAGTAGCTTCAAATTTTTTTAAAATATCTTTTCCAATATTACCTCTAACGTTCCGACAACATGACGCAAATTCTTTTATTAATGCTGTACAAAAAACTGAGTAATTGTTTTTTGAACAAAACTAAAATTTGATTTTATAAATGAAAGTTCTTGTTGAAGCAAGTTACTCTGAAAAGTTGGTTTAGAATCCAAAAGAGATTGGGAACTTTCATCTGTTAACGTATCAATTATGTTCTTTATTTTAACAAAATGATCTGCATAAAAATTAGCTGCTTCTAACCATGTTCCCCATCGCCTTAAAATAGGTTGTGGTGGAAGAGGAATGTTAGGTAGCATTTCTTTATGAATTCTTATAGGAGATTTAAGAAATACTTTTTTGACACTGGATATCATGGTATTTAAAAGTGGAAACTTTTTTCGTATTTCCTCTGCAACTCTGTTTAATCCATGCGCTACACAAGTAACATGTATTAAATCTGGGAAAAATATTTTTAAATTTTGTCCTGCTTTCACCATATAAGGAGCAGCATCCGATAAAATAAGCAGTAATTTATTAGAAGGAATAGTTGTCGGAAGAAAAAAAGTTGCTAATGTTTCTTGTATAAAACGCGAAATTGTTAAAGCATTTGTTTTCTCAAGCTGCTGGCATGAAATAAGATGAGATTTTGGTAAGGTATCTTCTTTAAGAACACCAATCAATAAATGAGCAATATACTTTCCTGAGGAATCAGTGGTTTCGTCTACAGATATGTAAAAATAATTATCTGCAATTTCTTCCTTAATATTAATTAACACCGACGAGTATAGCCCGTTCACATTATTTCTTCTTAGAGACCGATCACTTGGAACATTAAGTTTGCAATATTTTTTTAGAAACGAACTAAAATTTACATTTGCTAATTTTGAAAGCGGTATGTTTGCAAACACTAATGCGCGACACAAGTCTTCATTAAAAGTTTCTTGCTCATCTAATTTTTTTGAAGTAGTTGGAAACATTTAGCCATTGAAGTTTGATGTTTTCCTCCTATTTTTCCTTTTTTTACAATGTGTGAAGCAGTTCTCACATGTTGGTCTATCTGAAATTTCTTCTCACATGCTATCTATAAATAAAAATAAAATCCTTTATTAAATTTAATAAATAATATAATTTATTAGAAGGAATAGTTGTCGGAAGACAAAAAGTTGCTAATGTTTCTTGTATAAAACGCGAAATTGTTAAAGCATTTGTTTTCTCAAGCTGCTGGCATGAAATAAGATGAGATTTTGGTAAGGTATCTTCTTTAAGAACACCAATCAATAAATGAGCAATATACTTTCCTGAGGAATCAGTGGTTTCGTCTACAGATATGTAAAAATAATTATCTGCAATTTCTTCCTTAATATTAATTAACACCGACGAGTATAGCCCGTTCACATTATTTCTTCTTAGAGACCGATCACTTGGAACATTAAGTTTGCAATATTTTTTAGAAACGAACTAAAATTTACATTTGCTAATTTTGAAAGCGGTATGTTTGCAGACACTAATGCGCGACACAAGTCTTCATTAAAAGTTTCTTGCTCATCTAATTTTTTTGAAGTAGATTGGAAACATTTAGCCATTGAAGTTTGATGTTTTCCTCCTATTTTTCCTTTTTTTGCAATGTGTGAAGCAGTTCTCACATGTTGGTCTATCTGAAATTTCTTCTCACATGCTATCTATAAATAAAAATAAAATCCTTTATTTTAACCCAACTTTTAAAATATAAAAATATACAAGGTGTTTTTGGTTAATCAAATAACTGGTTTGGAAAAAAAAACACTCGCTTAGTGTTTTAAATGCAGTATTAATCCACAAATTAGTTTTTGTTACTAACGATTAGTACATCATATAACTTATTTTAAAATTCAACAAAAGTTTTTTTTTTGTTAATTCAACTACAATAAAAATAATTGTGTTTTAGAATAGCTGACTTCATAAAAAAAAGTAAATGTGAAAAATTTTTCTAAATACACAGCATTGTATTGTACCATGGACAATTTTTTCTCACTAAAGGAAGCTATTTTTCATTTAAAAACAACCTACGAGTACTAAATTTCAAGTAAATACGTTTATTGGTTTTAAAGTTATTATTGTTATTAACTAAAAGAATTTAATTTTTTTTAATTTTAACACCCTGTATCTCGAAAAGTAAATAAGTAAGTAAATAAAATCCTTTATTTTAACCCAACTTTTAAAATATAAAAATATACAAGGTGTTTTTGGTTAATCAAATAACTGGTTTGGAAAAAAAAAACACTCGCTTAGTGTTTTAAATGCAGTATTAATCCACAAATTAGTTTTTGTTACTAACGATTAGTACATCATATAACTTATTTTAAAATTCAACAAAAGTTTTTTTTTTGTTAATTCAACTACAATAAAAATAATTGTGTTTTAGAATAGCTGACTTCATAAAAAAAAGTAAATGTGAAAAATTTTTCTAAATACACAGCATTGTATTGTACCATGGACAATTTTTTCTCACTAAAGGAAGCTATTTTTCATTTAAAAACAACCTACGAGTACTAAATTTCAAGTAAATACGTTTATTGGTTTTAAAGTTATTATTGTTATTAACTAAAAGAATTTAATTTTTTTTAATTTTAACACCCTGTATCTCGAAAAGTAAATAAGTTTGACCCCTCATTAACTATATCGTTTTGTTCAATTTTTCGAGAAGTATCTACAGTCAAACGTTGTAAGTGTCATTTGGAAACACACTGTATGTATGAAATATTTGATATTTAATAGAAAATATTAGATACTTACAATTTTGCCACAGACTGAACAGTAGATTTTTCCCATATCCATAGACAGCTCTTTATAAGGTTTAATCCAAGTTGAAGCACTGATTGTTTTAGGCATTATAAAATCACAATCTTTCTTTTTGTTACGCACAACGAGTGTTTACGCTTTGAATATCAAAACAAAAATGATTTACAAATCTGAGCATCAAATTAGAAATGTTTAGGTACCTAATTCAATAAACTAGGAGATTTTGGAAAATCCCTAAATTAGGAACAAAACTATTAGCCGTTTACCTGCTGTTAAGATACAATAAATTGTAGATAGATTTGGAGATTAGATCATAAAATGCAAATGAGCGAACCCTTAGCGATTATCCAATAACTGAATGCCTCAGTAACCGAGACTTTCTAAGAATGTTGAGGGCTACTTAAATTGATCTTCTTTGAAATTGTAAATGTTTTGTACCTGTAGAGATTACGTACTTAGATCATTTCTTGATTAAAATGACTACAAAATTTTATACAAGAATTGAAATAAATTGGTATGTTTAAAAATTTTCAAATAAAGTATAAAAATCTGAACTTTTATGCACTTTTATGCAAACTTTTATACAAATATGCCAAAATATGAAATATTTGCATAAAATATGCGCAATATGCAAAATATGCAATATGCATATTGTGCATATTGTGTCCACAGCGGAGTGTGGTGCCGCTATTCCATACTTAGGGAAATACACTCATGCGCACCTAAAGGTAAGCGCGACTTGTCTGGACCGGCCCGCAACAGAACGCACCACAACAATAGTCAATTTAATATATTTGTGAATTCAAATGAATCAGCTCTCACTTTACGAAAACTCGGAATGGAATATTGCGGATAGTAGTTTCGACGAAATTGAGTTTCTAAATATTGTATTTTGTTTTGTGAGATCGCTTTTTTACAATAGATAATAATTCTTGATATGTTTCGTAACTCACTTTAAAGTATTGATAAAATTTGTCTTAATGATCGATTAAATCAAGAACAAACTATCAAATTCTCTTTACGTGTTTCAGTTTTTACAAATTTCATCTTCTTCTTCTTCTAGCGCCGTCTCCATGTATGTGTGAAATGTAGAGATGACATGTCATCTCTACATTTCCGTCAGACCGGGAGCCCATTCTGTCTCCGGCTTCTATACAATATGTAGCTTCTCCATATAAATTTTAAAGTGTTTGTTTGTCTTAGTGTATTGTATTTTGTATTGTTATGTCCAAATTTTACATTTATGACATTCTACTATGTTGGATAGGCCACAATTGACGAAATGCCCCTGAAGATGATCTATTGATCGAAAGTACTTGGGCAAGATTAAATTAATCACCGTGTTCGATAGTTGCCTTGTATACCCTCAAAATTTATTATTTTGACGATCTATATGTTTATATATGTGTATAGGTATATGTACAGTACGAGGACGGTAAACACATTTATTTATGTTTTTAGATCTAAATATCTCCATAGATCACAGAGTATATCGTCTTCGTGTCCCTACATTTTATATGTATTCATGTGAATAGGAGAAAGGTCATCTATATATGTAATAGAAAAACAGTAATATATCTTAGTATGAGTAAAAAAGGCAGGATGAGTAGCTGCCACGCTCCAAAATTTCGTCAAAATAGTCCCTAACTTCGTTCGTTCTATTGGTCATAGGTTTTTTTTAAATGTGTTTTTTTACCAGCTATCCAATGGTTCTACGGTAGCTTGAAAGATATAGAAGTTATTACAATGGTTTATAAGTAAAAAACATACCCCTTTTTCAAACGTTTATTTTATAAATAATTCCGATGAAAACGCAATATGCATTTAATTTCTCGAGATAGTTTAAGTCTTAAAAATCCTATCTAAAATCTTAAATGTGTCTAGCATCATTAATAGAGCAAGTTCAATAATTTATATATATATATATATATATATATATATATATATATATATATATATATATATATATATATAATAAATTAAATAACTTAAACTATTTGACCGATCGGGGGGAAATTCGACACAAATTGAAAAGACATTAATTCCTCAATGTTCAAATGTATTACTAACCTTTTATTTTGTTAATAAAAAAAATTAATAAAATTTATAAATTAGTACAAAAAACTGCTTTTTTGCGAATATCTCCGTAAATTGTTTAATAATTTTAATTTAAAAAACGGGAAAGTAAAGATATTCTTGATTTAAAAAAATGATATAAATATGTATTGTTTATGTAAAATATTAGGGAAAAACTTATCGACAAAAAATCAAATTGTGACCATACATTTTTGTTTAAAAAAAACGCAATGTAAAAATACGAGTACTTTTTCATCTAGTTACCCCCACATATGTCTTAAAAGCTTCAGATATCTGCGAAACAATTTTCAACCTTTTTTTTAACCAGACTGGGCTAAGATTTATTCATATTAGTATGCAGTGTTGCATAAATTATGTATAGAATGTTTTCTTTACTAACTCGTCATTGGATTAGCAACGTTTGATTTCCGTGATTTAGACTCATCGTTTCCTTTTATTTTCAGGACATTACTAGAAGACGTTATAGACACGGATATTTGTGATACTTTCATCCAATACTTAAATAATCACCTCAACTTTTATTACTACACTTTCGTAAGATCAAAATTCCAGTCGATGGATCAGTATTTGTCCCACATGGAAGACATTTTGGCAATAAATCTAGACTATGAAATCGAACTGTTTATGAAAGACCAAAAGAAGTATAGGAAACATTATCGCCAAAAGATGTTACGCAAATTGCAGACGTTGTTGTTTTACGATACTGATTCCTATTTGAACGTTTTGTTGAAGGTTAAACTCGATATCAGTTCGGAGGCTTCGAAGATTTATTGGAATTTCATTTTTAAGTAAGTATAAAGTTACATTTTTTATTACGAGACACATTGTATTTTCAATGTATACTTTTAACCCTTTAACCCAGGGAAATGAACAAAAATACAATGCCTAACAATTATTTTAAAATCCAAAAGGCAAATAAAATTCTTGTAGTTAGCGTTATACGAAATATCACAAAAGTTTTATTTAAAAGTCGTTTATAAAAGGTATATAATTAAAAAGACCCTTTCGGGCTATATCACAACAGAACCTTTCCGGACTAACTAGTCCATCGTCAGTGCATTTACCAGGTGTACGTAAGACTTTTAATTTAGGGTTGCTGACCCTGAGACTAGTTGACTAGTATATTGTAATAGGCATAGAGAAAAGATTAACGAACACATCTAATTTCAATTGTCAAAGTAAAAAGGTTTTAATTGTTATTTACCTGTCAGTTAAAAATCATTTACATTCTTCCTCCACATCACACTAGAGACGATGTCTCTGTATGGGCTGTGTACACTGTGTGTCAGCCAAATGGAATAAATTAGCTAATAAATAAATGAGGGAGTATTCGAAAAAAACGGTCGAACACGTCGATTAGTATTTATAGTTGCGCATTTTTTCCATAAAAACTTTTTATACGGGGTGTATCAGATATTGTATATATCTGATATACCTTGTATGTATCTGATATTGTATATATATTGTAATATACACTCATTATAATAATATTATAATTATTAATCAATTTTTAGATTTCTCAGATCATTATAGACATTTTTGAATACAATGTCCTATACCTACCTTTGACTGTTTCGGAAATATTAAGTAAAATGCAAAAAATTACATTTAGAACAGAAAATTATCGATTTGCCGAAAGCCGCTACAACATATTCAAAAACTTCTAAATAATGCAAATCTAAACAATAATGTCAATGTAGGAGATTTTCAAAATGCTCCCCACGAATGTCTTGGCAAAATCCTAACCGTGAATAGAAATTTCTTCTAACGTTCGTCTTCGTAAGTCAGTGGGTTAAGTTTTGTATATAATACTTTTCACATATCTCCATTAGAAAAAGTCTAATGGCGTCAAATCGGGGGATCGTGGTGGCGATTCCATCAATCCTCGCCTCCCTATCCACCGATTTGGAAATATTTGAGGTACTGCCGGCCATGGATTTGTTTATGTGGTGGTGCTCCATCTTGAAGCCATATCATATTTGCTGGAGCTTGTGGGTTTCCTGGATCAGGATATAAGTTGGCCAACGTTGACACTACATTATTTTGGAGCAATGCTAAATAATTGTCGCTATTTCAATTACCATCTATGAAAAAGGGACCTATGATCTAATGTTCAATAATTCACACGTTAATCTTCTCAGAGTATTGAGTATTGCCTTTTCTCATTCAGTGAGGATTTTCCCTGGATCAATAGCTACAATTTTGCCGATTAGCATGACCGTGAACAGTAAAGGTGCACTCATCAGAAAACAAAACATGTTCTAATTGGATCACATTGCTGTCTAATATTGCCATCATTTGTTCACAAAAATATGTTCTCCGTCTTCCATGAACTCCTGAGTGGGTATAATTTTATAGGAATGTATTTTGTTTTTTTGTAATATTCAAATAACCGATGAATAGCTTATATCGAGTTCTGGGGCTTCTTTTTGAACAGATGTATGTGGGTGTTCCACAAACTCAAGCATAACAGCAAATTTCGTATCGTCACTTATTGTATTGGCAGCTTCTTTTTTAACTTCCTAACATGGCCCAGCTCGTGGAATTGCTTCTCTATTTTACCAATTGTCTCTTGAAATATGTGCGGCAAATCAGGAAATGCTTCGTGAAAAAAACGAGCTACTTCCATTTGCGTCCGTGTCTCATCTCCATAGCCAATCATCTGTATAATTGTAATTTTGTGCATTTCTGTTAAATGAACCATTTTTCTGGCTTGTGGTCAATGAAGTTCAAGTACAGTAGCACTGACAACTACTTCTGCCATGGAACAATAAACATTGGCGTTTTAAACCAAAGTCAACAATTTTTTTGTTTTTTTTTAACATATCAAGAAGAAATGCTTAAATAGTTTTTATTAAGACAGTATTAAGACAGTGGTAGCGACTTTCGACAAATAAATAATATTCTTTTTTAAATATGAATTTTTGCATTTCACTTAATATTTCCGAAACAGTCAAAGATAGGTATATGACATTCTATTCAAAATATGGCTAACGTTCAAATTCAAAAATTCAAATTCTTTATTGTCTTTCTGACAAACATAGTTTGTATAGAATTAGTCATAAATATAAATTGCTAAAAACTAAACACTAAATTAGACTAAAAAAGACATGAAATGAATTTAAAAGCTAAATGAAATACAGCTAATATCTAAGATGTAAAAAATTCTTCGACTGTATAAAACACTTTTTCACATACAAATTGCTTAAGATTCCTCTTAATACATTTATTGAACTGGTGGCTTTTACAATTATGGGCAAATGATTAAACACCTGTGGCCCGTATACCCTGGGCGATTTAATTTTAATGTTACCTTTTGAAAATGGTATATAAAGTTTATTATAGTCGACACGTAATTTCGTGAGAAAATTTATAGGAATCAGAGCAAGTAAAATACTAGAAAATGGCAACAATGTTCGATTAACCACCACTGAACAGTTGCGTAGATATCTAATTTTAAATTAAATAAAAGTTTTATTTTTATTTAATTTTATTTAGAAAAAGTTTCATTTTCTATAACGTTTAAATAAAATATAATATCTAGAGAGTGATGACACTAATTGACTCGACTAAACAGAACTTATTGTAAAATAATATCTATACTTCATCTAATTTAGATAACGACTTACGTCATTATCTACGTCAGAGATCGAAGTTGACATAGTTGCCAAAGTATAAAAAAATCCTGACTCCATGTTAAATCAAATAGATTACATAATTATTGCAAAAGCATTACCATCTCTTTACAACGACTATTTAAATTCTTACGTGACATTTTTGAAATAAAACACACTAATTTTGTTCTAAAAAGAACAGATTTTATTAGATAGTTAAAAATATAAAACAAGAGATATTCACTTTAAAATTCAAAATAATGAAGCACAAAAAGTGTTAACACAGCAAATGTCAAATCAGTGTTACCAATTTATGCCAAAATTTTACCTTCGTTCGATTACAGTTACAGTGTGTTCCGAACAAATGTTCTTGATAAAAACGCTTTATAATGCATTTATACAAATTAAATGAAACATATTATTGTGTATTTCTTCAAGTTAACATTAATAGAAATTTTAAAATATGATTTCTACGCGTATATAATAAAATATGTCTAGTGGCTGTAATGTCAGTGTACTCGGTAAAGTGATTCTAAAAAAGAACACACCTACACCCTAAATATTTTGTTGGTATCATGTGACGTCATAGGCTATGACGCCGATGACGTGCATCGTTATATAAATTAGATGAAGTGTATAAAAAATTGTTAATAAAAGTAATTATCACATACAATTAAACAAATTTTTTATGTACAAGTATTTTAGTATACAAACGTTTTAATAACCCAACTGCTCATAAGTTTTAAAACTTATAATCACATTTTATCCCTGATAACTTAGTTATTGTAATAAAACAATAAAGAGAATTCATTTTTTAAATTATATACAGGGTATTCTATTAACCACTTTGGTTTGACACCGTGTGAGAGAAGACTTAGTACCACAATAATTTAAAAATGGGTAAGAGGTCTAAAACTTTTATGAACATCTTTTTTAATATATACGTTTTTATTCTATCATGAAGTGTATTTGTACTCTATTTTCAAAGATATACCTATAAGCAAAACAAGAATAAATTACAATAAAAGTAAAGGTTTCAACTAACACCTAGTTGGAAATAAGAACTTACTAATCTACTCAGAATCACTGTTATCACTAATATCAGTTGTATCTTCTAAATTTATAGTTAATTTGGTTAATGCTGGTAAATGTTTAACATAGTTATTTTCCACTGCGATTACATGTTTGATTACATTTTTCCAGTTGGTTGCTGTGATCTTTGTGACTTCTTTTCTAGTTAACTGGAGAGCAGTAGACAAAAGTTTAGGAGCCACGTTTCTTCTTCTATTTCCTTCAAGTTGACTCCATATTAACTCTATTGGGTTCAGTTTACAATAGTAAGGAGGAAGTTCAAGCACGGTATGCCCATTACTGCGAGTACAGTTATCAACAACATATTCCTTCTGGTACTGTCTACCATAAACAACATCCAACAATTCCTTTTTACTATATTATGCCTCAAAGTACAAATCTCTCTAAATAAAAATTCTTGAATTTGTAATTTGTTTCAAGTAATATTTGTAATTTTCTCATTAATCTTGAATGATATGATACGTTGTCCATGATAATCACACCATATTTCGGTAATTTTGGAAGAAGAGATTCTTCAAACCATGATTCAAAAATTAAACTTTCCATATCCTCATGATAATCTAGAGACGCGTTTTTATTTATTTTTTTTTTGTAGATATTAATAATACATCAACGATCCATCTATTTTCTCCACCGCAGTGTAAAATTATAATTCTCTGTCCTGTCATAAGTATCACACCAGGTCTCATCTAAATAAACAACATGTTTCATTTTTTGATACTCAGTTATCTATCTGATAGAAATGTCTCTTAAAGAAATAATTATCCTAGTACTTTCCATTTAGTGTTTGGCGCTTGTCTATAGTTTTTTACTTAAAATTATGGGTTTTAAGAAATGGTAAAAAAGGTGTCCATATCAGTTAAGTCTTTTATCTTCGATTGTGTCTATTATGTCTAGATCGATTTTAATTTCTCTCCGAATATCTTCGTTTCTCGCCCTATCAAGTCTAGTGAGCTGGCAACATCGTCTCCAGTAGTTCATTTCCATGTTCGACGCCGTACAGTCCAATACTTTCTATTATTGTTTTATAAATTCTTCTTTTATTTTCTTTTGTTATTTTTTTTTATTCCATAATAGTCCGTGTAGCTGTCTGGTGGCTAATCTTGCTTGGCCAATCCTGGAATGTATTTCTTCGCTACTTCCTGCTTTTGATGTTATTTGGACTCCCAAGTACTTAAAATTGTCTGTTGGTTTTATAGTTTCCATTTCGATTTGTAGGCTTTCTGGTTTTTCTCCTACAACTAGAAATCCTACAAAAGAAATGTTCATGATCTGTAATAATTGACTGACTGTCTTTGTCTACTGTATTACATGGAATGTTCGACACGATATCAATGGGTGCATTTTTAAAAAATGTGTTAAAAGTGCATGCTATCTCTTGGGGATCTGTAATTATGTTATTGTTATCATACATTAAACAAGTATTAGAATTTTTATTAGCACTTTTTGAAAAATCATTGACAGTTTTCCACGCGATCTTATTGGGATCATCAGACGAAATGATGTGAGGAATCTAAAAATTAATTAACATACAAGGTGTTCTATTTAAAAAAAGCAAGTTGGTATTGCCCACCGTTATCTGATATAAAAAGTTTTTATGGAAAAAAAATGCGCAACTATAAATACTAATCGACGTGTTCGACCGTTTTTACGAATACTCCCTCATTTATTTATTAGCTAATTTATTCCATTTGGCTGACACACAGTGTATGTATAGTATACTTTTCAATTATATAATGTGTACATGTTTATATTTTTTCAGATTTGTACTGTCCAAAGGACCAAAATCAACCACGGATCTCGACTTTTGCCGAGCTTACATCTTACACGAGAGGTGGAAGAAAGTGTCCAATAATGAGATGCACAAAATGATCAACGATATGCTATATACCATCTACTCTCGAGGAGTTGAAGATGTAGCATCGAATCAACATCTGCAAGAAATATCGAAGCCTCGAGATACACAAGTATTAACTTTTATAACCGCCCACGAACTTACACAGCTCTGCAAGTCCTTCATAGAATATGTTATTAAAAAGAACGAGGAGGAGACTATGCGGCTGGTAGCGGAGCGACTAGATAGAGACGATAGTGTAAGTCTATTTGTATTTTGGTCAAATTATAAAAATACCTTACGTTTTTGGCAAATCAAGGAACTTTACATTCAATATTTCGCTGCACATTCAGCAGAATAGCTCAGGGAAATAAGGTTTTTTTCGTGACACTTGTCCGACCAGGCAAACGACAGTTGTTTTGAGTAGTATGGACCTAAATAGCAAGAACATATACAGTGTAGGTAAAAGTTTATGGTCGGTATGGACCTTACGTGAGATGGAGTGACAAACACCTGTTTAAAAAGAGAGAGGTATATTTGGTCCGCCCTTTATATCGCCGAAAATCCATTAGTGGATATAATAAAAGGGGGGAAGTTCAACGTTGTCAAACTTATTGGTTTTATTTGATCTATTGTCTTTTTAGCATTTGAACAATGTTCTCAGATAATCAAATTTGGGCAAATAGATTTAAATGGCAGCTTACTGTTTTTTATTGGGAATACGCCACAATTTTACTTTACAATAAGTGTAATTTAACATTTTGATTTCCACTTCAGAAATCATTTTACATAAATAAAATTTATTAATGTTTCATATTTTAAGTACGATTTCTGAATTGTAAATCTAAACATCAAAATAAGCTTATTTTAAAGTCACATTGTGCCTTATTCAAATAATAAACTGCATTATGGCGCCACAATAAAAAAGCTTCATACAAAATTATTTGGCAACGTCGCGTCTTGCGTCGTCAAAGTAAGGACACTGATTTTAATACTGTGGTAACGAGTAGAGATGGGTTGTTAACGTTTTTATCGTTAACGCAACTGAACCGTTTTTCGTAAACAAGTAACTAGTTGAAAAACTAGATAAATTATTCATTTAGTTGATTTCAAGTAAGAGATTACATAAACAAACATAATGGCTATTATCGTTTATGTGTATATATATATATATTGAAGTGAAAGAACCTAACGAAGGATATATTTATTATAACTTGAAAAATAAACTAAACAATACAAATAGTAAATCGTACTTACATTTATATTACACATTATTATTAAATCGCAAATTGTCTAAATTGAAATTTAAAAACAAGTATTTCTACTTTACTTGTTTTTAACTGTGTTCTTTTATTTAAAATTGAAACAGATTTTGAACATGTATTCACATGTACAATATTTTATGAATATGGTGGTTAAGTTACGATATACATGGCGATGGTTTTTCCACCACTGTAATGGACAGTTCCAATCTCCGTTCGAATTTTTTGTGGGTAATATATCATCAGACAAATACATGTCGACTTCTTTTCTAGCTCTCGTTACAGGTGTACTTTTAAATGAGTCATGTCCAATTAATTGATCGAAAATACACCATGGACTTAAGTCATCTTTATCGGTTTCTTTTTCTTGTACTGATTGATTTTCAATAGTACAATATTATTTTTCTTTAATTATAGAAGTAGCCAGTTCCTTAACTCTTTCTTTTGTTTCTTTAGCTTAATTTTTATCAGAAAATCCCTGCACTTTAAATCGTGAATCCATAAATGTACATAATGACAATATGCCACTCTGTTCTATCCCTCTAAATCTTTTTGTTAAACTCGATTTTAGTAATTGTTGTACGTCTGATACTATGAATGTAAGGATTTTCTAAAATTTTATTGCAAGATTATTGCAGACAGCTTACCATACAGTCTGTCCCAAACCCTTTTTTCAGTGCGTCACTAATTTTAACGTCATATAGGATTTTAAGAAAGTCGAGAATTATTGCATGACATTTTAGTTAAATCTGACAGTTGCAGGATCGTAATCGGCTAAACGTGAAAAGGTTATTTTTTTTGCATAGCAGTTTTTCATAATTCTATTCTATTCTGTTCTATTTTATACATTTCATGGAAAGTGCTTAATTAGCTAAGATTTGTTTATGGATTTATTATTACTTATTACAAACACTAGGGAATTGGAAGGTTTGTTTATTTAAAATAACGCTTCCTCCTAGAATCTTTTAAGAGTTGACTGCAAGGTAAAAAAATTTACTGACAATTACAAGGCATCAAAGTAAACATTCCTGTGATAAAATAATATCGATTTAAATCAGTCATATTTGGATAAGTAATTTTCTGATAAGTTTGTGTGGCAGCCAATAGTTTAATTTTGTGAAGAGTTGTCATTAAACAGTGGAAATAGTTTAAATAGTGAAGCAGTTGATTTTTAAGTTATTCTACCAGATTTGGTGTGCAAATGAAAGAAGGTTGTAAAGTTTAGTTAAAAAAAAACAATATAAATAGTTTAAATAGTGAAGCAGTTGATTTTTGAGTTAATCTACCAGTTCCGATATCCAGATGAAATCGTGCTAATGGAGTTTAGTTAAAAAACAAGATACCGAATGTAAGTTTACCTTCTTTTTTATAAATAACAAAACTGTATATTATATTTCAAACAATCTATAATCCCATTCAGAATCTGATTCTTGAAAATCAATGATTACACTAGATATGTGGCTGGTATCAATTATATCCTACATTTCAAGAAAATGTCGTGGTTCTAAAAAGAACCGTTTTAATACATATAAATATTCATAAAGGCATTAGTTTAAGATATTTCCTCAATCTCATTCCGGAATTCACAATCTGATTCGCGAACGACAGAAACTGATAATAAAGATGTCTCAGCCTCTTTTTCTAATTGAAACTAATTTAATAATTTCAATAATAGTCTTTTTTCATTCTCGGTATATCTCGGAATATTTAAAATATTTTTATGACAATAAATACAAAATTTAATTTTCACTGTAGTTAAAATGTCTGAAAATACTATCATTTTATCAGTTAACATTGTGAAAGTACTGTCACTGTCATTATCAAGATCATCTGTGTCAAATTATATTTATATGCATAATTGATTGGATATCTATTTAGCGTATTCTAAACTCCAACCAATTATACGTTCGTAAGTAGAATTCGCTTTAATATGCGAATACCCGTGAACGATACCTAATTTTCTAAGTTCTATGTATAATAATCAGCGACTCACGTTTTTTTCTGTCACTTCTAGCTTAATGCGTTAGAGATAATTCGAACAACTATGACGCACTGAAAGAAGGGTTTGGGACGGACTGTAACAATCACTGAACTACCCTTCAAGTATTTTTGGCCACTCATTGTACTTATTATTTCTGTTAAAGACCGTAAAATTTGGAAAAGTTGAGAACAAATAATCCAGTCTTCATTATTTAGATTTGGCAAGTCTGTATTAACTAATACCAATGTGGAACGGAATGCCTCTTAGGTCCTGTTAATTCGATGTAACTCTCAGTTACTCCAGATGTCTAGAGGTCAGAAGTAATACAGATATTGTCTACTTCTTTAACAACTTGTGCTCTAGTCATTTACTCAGTTTAACATAACATTCCTGAAGTAATGAACCTAACAAAGTTTTTCTTGTTGGCAGTTTATATCCAGGAATCCACCTTGCAAACTTTTTAAAAGCTCATTCTTCAACTATGGAAAATAGATGAAACGAGTCTTTGCATAGGTTTAGTAAATCCATATCTATTTGTTTCTTTTGTTCTAAACTAATCTTTTTGTGAATGGAAGTATCCATTACCTTTTGACGCTTGGGTGGCGGTGGCAGTATGTCAGAACTTCTAGTAGAAGTAGTCGAAACGGACAGAAATGCACCAGGAGAAGTTTCAATAATTGCAGTATTCAGAAAGTGGACCATAAAAGTTGCATCTTCTACAAACTTGCATTTTTTGAAAATAAAATTATTATTCTTATACTAGGTAAATAATTTTGACTAAGAAAAAGACTTCTTAATTGAATATTTACTATAAATAAATCCTTTGACGTACTACCAATAAAGATTTGAAATCGAAAATGCAGATAAATCGAAAATCGAAACTCATTCATTAATCAGAATACCTAGTTATTTTATTTTCAACGACAACCGATCGGTCGACTGTCCACTGTCCCAAAAGATTAACATGTTATTTTTAGTTTTGCAGTAATTTCTCAGATCAACTAATCGTCCTCGTCGACGTAAACTGTTCGTTGCTCCTCTGTTTACGTCTACACAAAACGTAGTTTTTTTTTAATCAACCATCAATTAGTTGTCTTACCAGTGAGAAACCGTAGATTCCTTAACGACAAATAATGATTTAAAATACAGGGATTTTCTGATAAAAATGAAGCTAAAAAGAGTTAAGAATCTGGTTACTTCTATAATTAAAGAAAAAGATTGTATTATTGAAAATCAACCAGTACAAGAAAAGAAACCGATATAGATTACTTAAGTCCATGGTGTATTTTTGATGAATTAATTGGACATGACTCATCTAAACATACACCTGTACCGAGAGATATAAAAGAAGTCGACATGTATTTGTCTGATAATATATTACCCACAAAAAATTCAAACGGAGATTGGAACTGTCCATTACAGTGGTGGAAAAACCATCGCCATGTATATCAACTTAACCACCATATTCATAAAATATTGCAAATGTGAATTCATGTTCAAAATCTGGTTTAATTTTAAATAAAAAGAAGAACACGGTTAATAAAAAAGTGGAAAAACTTATGTTTTTAAATGTCAATTTAGACGATTCGCGATTTAATAATAATGTGTAATGTAAATGTAAGTGCTATTTACTATTTGTATTATTTAATTTATTTTTTAAGTTATAATAAATATATCCTTAATATTGTTCTGAAGCTATTTTCTTGTGGCATTTTAAATTATTTACCATTTAACCAGGAATACGCCACAATTAAAGATAAAAAATACGTTTATTGACGTTTCAATTTTCACTTCGGAAATCGTTTTCAAAATACAAACAGTAAATTTACTGTTTGTATTTTGAGAACGATTTCCGAAGTGGAAATTAAAACGTAAGGTATACTCTGGTAAGCGAAATTGCACGAGCTGTACAAGAGTTTAATAGAACAAATCCACTTAGCAGACTACCGTCACCAAAAATAAACTCTTCTAAAAAACTAGGTGCTCTGTTACAAATTATAAGTACTGAAGTCCTACCCAATTACGTCGCAGAGGCCCATACACTGGAATATTTGCATACTGTGCAGCAACAGCAAATGTAATAGGAATTAAGATCAGAACACGACGGGGCACCAATGCCGGAAGGACTGATAACAGAGTTGCACCCTGGGAGAAACGGTTTCTAAACAAGATTGAATTATTGCGCAGGGACATTGGTTAAATGACAGAATATATACGAGGAACAACTAGTAGAAAAGTCATTAAAAGAGCTGATCAAATAATGCTAAGCACTGCAAGACACTCGCAATATGATCCAGTAAACATCACAGCCCATCAGTGCCTGGATACATTAAAACAAAAACTCTTCGTTTATTCAGGACGACTAAGGAGGTACACTTCCCGTCATATAAAACTGGTACACTTTTTTTTCTCAATGTAAACCTGTGTTCAGAAATCAATTCGTTGTTGCCAGTACAGATATCGGAATTGCACTAAATCTAAATAAAAAAATAACTTTCAAAAATGTATAAAATTTTTAGATATGTATTATTTTTATCATTACCAAAAAAACTGAATTTATGAAATTAAATAAGCAGAGATAGGGTTGAGTTATTATCCAAAATGTTTGAAAGATCTTTAAACTAGGGTATTAGCACAGGGAACATTGGAATGGATCTACTGTAATTTTATCTTCAATTACCTACCCAACTCGAACTGTATTCTGTGTCAATAAGTTTTGTAACAGGCAAACTACCAAGATTAATTTATTGTTTATTAAAAGAACGATAAAAAATGTGAAAAACCAACTTTATCCTACGTATTATATACTAGAAAATGTTCGGTGCGAAAAAACGCTTTTCAAAACGTAACAGTTACAATCCAATATCTCATTGTAATGTTTTATTATAATAATTTGAAGTTTGTCTGTCTGTCATTATTTTTGAATTGAAATATTTTCATAAATTGTTATAAAATACAAATCAATGTATGGGTATTTAATTGAGATGATGGAAAATTACAAAATTAATATGAGAATTTTTTAGAATGCATAATGCTCGATAATGTTTTAGTTTTTAGTATACTTAAAACTGCTTTGCTTTTATCTGGTTTTATATAATATTTTCGTTGAACTGGCAACGGTGCCCTAGAAATCAGAATGACACATCTGACAAGATCAACGTACACAACTTAAAAAACACGATTTTTGATTATAAGAGTTGTACCAGTTTTTTATGACGGGAACGGTACCAGGTTAGCAACAGCCGGAAATGTGACAATGCGCTTTTTGAGCATGCCGAGAAGGCGTTCTATCGGAAAATTAACTCCACTGTCGAAAGTGCCAATAAATCATACCCAAGCCAAGAAGACATTCAGGAGTTTTGGGGAAATCAACTTTTCACACCAGCTGCTCTTAACACCAATGCTGGATGGATAGAAGATACGACTCAGAGCTGTCAACACTACTGCACAACTGTTTATGAACCCTTCACAGAAGAAGTCTCTAATATAATCAAAGAGCTTCATAACTGGAAATCTCCTGGACCAGACGGAGTTCAAAATTTCTGACTTAAGAAGATCTGGAGTGCTCATGAGTGCTTGTCAACATTAAATAATCGTGTTATTTCTACTCCGCAGGAAATACCATCATTCCTAACTCAGGGAACAACTTATTTGATACCGAAGGATCAAAATAATACCCAAGATCCAGCCAAGTACCGCCCAATTACTTGTCTTCCAACTCTGTATAAATTGGTCAAATCCTGTGTAGCCCAGCGTATCTACCAACACTGCGCTCTAAACAATATCATAGAACCTCAACAGAAAGGATGCGCTAAAGGCTCCATGGGTTGCAAAGAGCAACTTATTATCGACTCAGTCATTTCTAACCAGGCATACACCAAAAAAAGAACCTCTTCACTGCCTTTATTGACTATAAGAAAGCCTTTGACTCAGTGCCGCATGAATGGCTGGTAGATATATTAAGAATATATAAAGTCGATGATAATATAGTGGACCTTCTTAAGACATATAATGACAGATTGGAAGACTAAAATGCACCTCCAAATACCTGGTGAAAACAATATCGAAACGGATATTCCAAAGAGACTCGCTGAGTCTCTTGTGGTTCTGTCTAGCGATGAACCCACTATCCCAGCTATTAAACTCCACTGACTCAGGTTTTAGCATTAAAAACAACAACACTGTAGTGGCCAAGCTTAATCATTTCGTCGTCTACTTTAAAATGTATAATGTATGTCTGAATTGTCAATATAAATGAGTCAGATAAAGTTAAATTATTAGAAGAATTCTTTCACCAAGTAACAAAAAAACAACATTTGTTTAATTTACTAATGTTTGTATTTTGGGAACGATTTCCGAAGTGGAAATTGTAACGTCAATAAACGTACTTTAACCTTTGAATGTGGTTTATTCCCATTTAAATAGAAATTACTTTAAAATAATAATATAATAACAATAATAATGGATTGATTACGGCTGTCGCTGCTTCTCCGCCCCCCAATTTCCATCTTTTTCTGTCATATGCATTTGCTTCTTCTAAGTCTCTTGCCGCCATTGCTTCATCAATATCGTTGCGACAACTTATACGTGGTCGTCCTCTCTTTCTTCTTTCAGGAGGGATCCATTCCAGTACTCTTCTAGGCCATTTGTACTCTGGCATTCTTTTAACATGTCCGAACCAGATTAATTGTTTTCTTTCTATGTCATCATTGATATTTCGCTCCATTTTCATTTCGTCTCTTATTTGATCACTTCTAACTCTCTCCAGTTTCGATCTACCGCAGCTTCGTCTCAGATAATCCATTTCTGTCGTCATAAGTTTGTTTCTATTAGCTTTGGTGACGTCCCATACTTCCGAACCGTAAAGTGTAATACTTTGGATTATACTACCGTAAATGTGTTAAATAGATGGCAGAAGAAGCATCGGAAGAAGACGAATTTCATGGCTGAAGAACCTGAGAGAATGGTTTGGATGCAGCTCAAAACAACTATTTAGAGCTACTGCCTCAAAAATTAAGATAGCTATGATGATTGCCAACCTCCGTAGCGGAGATGGCACCTGAAGAAGAAGAAGAAATGTGTTTTTTGGTTTCTCGTCGAATTGTTTTTTGCCATAGAAGAGAGTTTAAGGCACGGGTCGCTGCTCTGCTCTTGTTTATTCTATCCTGATTTCATCTGCGGTATTTCCCTTCTTGTTAAAAATAACCCCTAAATATTTGCAGAATTGCACGCTTTTGATTTTGTCGTCTTCCAAGACTAGGTCACATATTTCATCTGTTCCCATTGAGAGATATTCACATTTTGTCATATTCATGTTTAGACCTGCCACCTCATATTCTTCTTGCAGTTCTCTTACCACATAGCTAAGATCGTAGATGTCTTCGGCAATTACTACCTGGTCATCCGCAAAGAAAAGTGTATATAGCGTGTTTTCTTCCACCGTTATTCCCATGTTTCTACATTTTTTACCCATTTTACTAAGGATCTGTCCAAATATATTTTAAATAAGGTGGGTGACAGACAGCAGCCTTGTCTTGGTCCCTTTGTTGTTTGAAAAGGAGAGGTGATTTCTTATCCCATTTTAATTCTTGAAAATTTTTTTGTTCGTAGTATTTTTGAGTGTCGTTATTGAGAATTGGGTTTATTTTCAAGTTACCCATTTCTATCCACAGTTGGGAGATCGGCACACTGTCATATGCTTTTTCCAAATCTATTAAAGCTATATGGGTTTCTCTGCACTCGTTTTTCCATTGCAATTTTTAATGTGAAAATATTATCCATGGTGGAGCGTCCGGCCCTAAATTCCGCTTGTTCTTCGGGTTGTTTGTCTTTAATATCATTTTCTATCAGGTTTCGTAGTTCTTTTGAGTATAGTCGGCCTATAGTAGCAATCACTGCGATCCCTCTATAGTTTTTAGGATCCGTTTTTGTGCCTTTCTTGTGTATTGGAGATATATACGATTGTCTCCATTCTTCTGTAACTTCTTCTCCCTTTAAGCATATTTCGAATAATTTTCGGATCATTTTAAACAGTTTTGATAATTCATACCTAATCAACTCTGGATGTATTCCGCCTGGGCCTGGAGATTTTCTTAATTTCATTCCCTTAACTGCTTCTTTCACTTGTTCTATTGATATTTCTATTCTTCCTTCTACTTCCACTTGTTCATTTATCTGTTTAAACCTTTCTCTTCTCTCTGTTAATAAGTTCTTAAAATGCTCTACGCATGTGTTCTCTGGTATTCCATTTATTATGACTTGGATTTTATCGTTGTTTTCATCGTTTTTATAGTTCTCCAGCCTTCAGAGCTCTTTGTCCCTCCTATCTGGTTGTCTACGTATTGACATTTTTGTTCCCATGCATTATTTTTCTTTTTAACCACTTCTCGTTTGACTTCTTTATTCAAGTTTTTATATTGTTGTTTTGTTTGTTCGTCTCCCTGTTGTAATAAGTGTTTATATACTTCCTTCTTTCTTTTTATCTTTTCTTCCACTTCTTTATCCCACCAATATGGTTTATCGACTCTCCGTACCTGTGGCCCTAAGGTTTCTAGCGCCGCGTCTTTCATGCAGTTTTTTATATGTTCGTACTTTCCTTCGTTGACCTTTGTGATTCCTGTAGTTTTTGTTTGAGTCTCCAGGAATTAAGTAACTGTGTGCTCTCGTTATCTAAGGTGTACGATTGTCTAAGGTGTACGTAGTTCTTTCTATTTTTTCTCTGTGTTCTTTGTTGATGTCTGTGTGGTTCCTGTCTACGAATGGTGTATATATTTTTCCTATTATCGAGCCGCACTCTGCTCCTTTATTCACCTTTGCGTCATGTACTTTTAACTTAGTTTGTTGTCTTGTTATGAAATAATCTATTATCGATTTTAGACCTCTTGTTTGCTGATCAGGTGTATTTATGTATGTTCTTGTGGGCGAAAAATCCATTCAAAATCTTTAACTCATATTGTTGGCATATATTTATGAGTCTTTCTCCGTTGTTGTTAACAGTTTCTTCTCCATGCATACCTACCACTTTACTTTGTACTTGTTTTCCTACTCTGGCATTAAGGTCTCCTTCGTATATAATCTCATGGCTGTTAGAAATTTCGTTCAGGATTGTTCTAAAGTCTTCTTCAAAAGCTTCCTTTTCTTGTACTGAGTAGTCATCATTTACGGCATATACTCCCAAAATTGTTATTTGTGTTCCTCTTGAGAGAATCGTCACTTTAATAAAACGTTCGTTGTATGCTTCCCAAGATTTAATATATTTTTCGAATTTCTTGTGTACAAATATTGATATCCCTGCTCTTGCTCTTTGATCCTTTCCCACTCCTGAGAAGAAATGTACATAGTCTTAATTTTTCGCTTCCATTTCCGTTTTTCTTGGTGTCAGAGAGAATGGCTATATCTAATTTTCGATTTACGAATTCCTGCATAATTTCTTGTTGCTTGTTCCGGATTCCCTGTATATTCCAGATTCCGTAATTCATAGTCCATTTTCGTTGCTGTTTTCGTCTACTGTAATTTCCGTCCGGTAACCGAGGCTCATTGGGTTTTTATCACTGTAGAATTTTTCACAAGTGTAAGGTCGCTGACCTTACGACTTAACCCCCATCCTTGGAGGACCGAATTTTCTGTTGGGGTTAATTCCCCTAGCCGATATGTTCCAGTTTTTAGGCGCCAGAGACTCGCCTTTTACCCTCTCTCGTCTGCTACATAACGCACTCCCATTGTACGCCATGCACTCCGTGGTTACGCGACATGGTATGTCTTCGTGGACGTGAGAGTAGGATTTGCTGGCAGAGCTGAGTTTTATTCCTAAAACCTCCAACTCATTCGTTGGAAAACAGTGGGCATTTCTTAGAGTTTTGTTATGACAAAAGCATCGGCAGCTTCATGTCGCCCTCAAGACCCCTTACCAGCCTTTAACCACCAATTATTTTAAAATACCAAAAGAAAATAACTTAACAATATGTATTGAAGACATCCAGTAGTAATGAATTTTTCAATAATGGCAAAAATACTACTATTAACTATTTAAACTACGAGTAAACGAATATATTTAGTCTTTTAAGACATAAAATCAATAGCACTTGAAAATACCTTGAACTAAGTAAATTAGTTTTAAGCAAACTATAACATAACCTTAAAACATGAAATTCATAGTAAATATCTTAATCCTTTGATATTCTTACCTCACAAATTCACGAACAACAAATAATGCCAATCGCACACAATGGATGTTTATAACCAAAAGTCCTTATTTATTCTTCAAACAAACATTTAAAAAAAATCAATATTTCCAACTTCTTATGGGACAAATACACATAAATTAGAAATGTTTGGAAAGGTTTTAAAAACCCTTCCATTGTGACGTGAGAGCTTAGGTAGTCCATAGACAAGTTTTTAAGTTATAAGGAAAATAATGTATTTGACGTTTTGATTGTATATTTAAAAACAATTCCACTACAAAATTGGGTGAATCTCTAGATGATAATCTTTTTGTATTATCTCATTGTACACATTTCAGCTGTCAAACCCGTCTATTCGCTCCGTGCGTGACCATGGTAGGTGTACATTGAAACGATGCCAGCGTGCGTAGCGGTGAAATATGACAAATTGGAATATTGGACAAAATATTTTTACGCATAAATTTTATCAAAAATGTGTGCAAAGAGTGTAGTTTTTATAGGTTCCCAAAGATTACATATAAATTAGAGAAAAGAAAATTATGAATTCGTGCTATTAATATGAAAAAGTAAATATCACATAATTTCATTTTTATGCAATTGAAATAGGAAAAATTTAAATAATTTACCTTGAATGATATTTCATAAGGCTTCAAGCTAACTGCAGATGACTTTAGCTTTTATATAATAACTTTTACTATTATTGTTTTTAATTATATGCTCTTTTGCGTGAAAAACTTGATTTGCCAGTACTAGATTTTTCCCTTTCTTTTCCGTTTGGAGTTGAAAAGATATATTATGATGAATTTTAAGAAACCCAGTTTTTAATACTACATTTATTTTGTACATAAACTGAAAAAATATAGTTAAAAAACTAATTTATTAATAATTGTCAATTTCGCATGTATTTAACAATGTCAAACATGTTATGTCATATGTTTAACCTGAAAATTGGGACTCCAAAATTGTCAGATGAAGGCGGTAGGTGTCGCATCAGTCACGCACGGAGCGAATACAGTTGTGACAAAAAAATTCATATTTTTTACTTTATGCTACTAATTCCTTAAAAACGTTCATTTGAACTACTTACATTAGACTCGTAGTTCATTTATATAAGATCTGGACTCTTGACTACATTTGAACTTACATCATCTATTTTATGCCTATTTGATATTTCAAGATGCCATATTTGTTATAAAGGCCAAAAATTTTCAATTTTTCTTGGAAATGTGCTATGAAAGGCACATTTTCTTTTTTAGCAGTTTTTGTATCATTATAATCATATTTTCACGTAAACAATATTCCAGTAAAATAATAACGTTATTTATAAACCACCTAGTTTATTTATTTGATAGATTTCTAGTGTTTCTGCATGTGTTCAAATTTGATTTTAGGATGACGAACAACTGAAAGCTCTTCAGGAAGTGTCCATCACGTCGCAAGTGGTGGAGTCGATACCAGCAAGTTCCCAAGCAGTAGAAAATCAGATAGATGCTTCTGGATCAGATCAAATTATCGACCTCGAAAGTGATGACCAAAAACCTGAAAACGAGTGTGTAGCGGTTGGAGTAGGGTCTGTAAATTGTAACCCCGAGGATTCGCAAATGGTTCACGAAATTTGGGACGGCGATGACGATATTTCTTCCATTATATATTTTTCTCGGAAAGAGGTAAATATATCTTATCTTCTTTTTTCGGCCCTTTATTTGCTGTATATCTCTTCACACTCTCGTCTAGACGGTTCGTGTCATTATCTCATATTATATAACATATTAGGAACCTTCCCATTATTGATTGATACTGATAAACCTCTTATTTCACAGCGCAGTGTACCATCCTTCTTGGAATCCATAGAAATTCCCAAATCCATTGCAGATAAGGAAAATAGAAATCCAAAAGAAAAGTCTAAATTCGGTCAACCTCCAGTGACGCCATCTACATTGAAATTGCAAAGCAGTAATTCGGTCCAGTCTAGAGAAAAGCAGTCCAGGAAATTCACGCGGAAAAAAACTATAGACTCCACTATTGACCTATCAATTGATTTGGACAGTGTGGAGAGTATTGAGTAAGCTATTTTCATTATAAATATTTTCTTGTGCACAAAGTCCTAAAATATTTAAACAAAAAAATTCATTATCATTATCGAATCCTTTCGGAATGCTTGTCGCTCTTATCTGAGCTACTATTAATAATATGTCGGTATTTTCATTTAGTGGAACTTGGAGTAAAGTGCGTGCGATATTTTTCATACTAGTTTTTATCAAGATATTCAAGATTCATTAAACACGATATCATTTCATAAAATCGGCAGATTTCTTGTTTATGGAAATTTACACCTTACAACAATAGCACCCCGTTGAGGTGAATATTAATGAGTCTCTTAGAAAGGTGGTAGTACTATAAATGATTAATTGTTCGAACCCTACACGTGATATTTTATGTTTGACAGTGATAAATGCAACAGCACTGACGAGAGAATACTGCGCGCTCCACTTTCAGCGCTTCCATGTGGAGTTGTCTAATTGCGACCTAACGTGATACACAAAATCAGTCAGTATTGGTTGATCTTGGTCTCTTGAAAGGTGGTAGTACTATAAATGCATAATTGAATGCTATGCTGGAACAACATTGTAACCGCCAATACTTTCATATGTGGATTTCCATTAAACAACGTTCTATATGTGCAAAATAATGTACTACTGACTGTGGGGAATATTATGAGACTTAACCTGCCTGTTCTGGTAGTTTGAAAACTAGTCAACTTTCAATGTAACAACGTTTGTGTTAAAGTGGGTCGTGTTTCGCGCCAAATTTTCTGCACGTGTTTTGTAAGTCAACATTTTCAATCGTGTAATTTGTCAATTCGAGCTAAAATGGATGTTAGTATAACCAAGTCAGTGATTACCCAAATTAATAGAGGAAAAACACGAAAGCTTAACATTGATAAGTGGAAGCAGAATATTAGATAACGTCGCTGAGGTGCTGGTGATTTGTACGTTTCGTCTAGAGAAGCTCTAAGTTGCCCAGATGAAGCAATTTAAAGTTTACTAAACTAGTTTCATGTTTTAAAACAATATTTAGCTTAGGTGGGTATTTGTAAATGTAATCAGTCTGCTACGGGTTGTTGTGCTGAGTTATTAGTGGGCAATCACGCAAAACTATTCAAAACGTTTAGAGAACTGAGATACAATGGCCAATCAAAATTTTTATCTCAGTCTTTTTCGCTGCAAGAGCCAAAAAGAAGAAGGGAAATATACAGTAGAAAACATAAGGATATGTAAAGCAATGGTATGTTATATATTTTCAATAACTACTAGAAAACTCCAGTACCTTGTTTGTAAAATGAAAGCAGGAGTAAATCTAAATGATCAACGTAGAAATCTAATCGTTCCAAAAAACTCATGATAACAGCTGCAGAGAAAATATGCGAACATATTAGGTAATTTCCTCAACAAGAAAATTATTCTAGCAGAAATGCTTCTTCTAAAGTTTGCCTTCCAGCTGATTTAAGCACCTCAAAACTGTACAGATTATTTTTAAAAATGTACCGTGATACAAAAACCTCTCTACGAACTTACCACGACATTTTTAAAAGTAAATTCAATTTGCGTTTTGGACTTCCCAGATCAGACACTTGTTTATACTTTGACAAGCTCTGTATCAAAATTTCTTCTGCTAGCAATGACTGTGGCAGAAAGAAAATAGAAATTGAAAGTAAAATTCATCATATGCGAGTGGAAGCAGTTTGCAAAAGTAAATGCTAATTCTGTCGTTTTATGTACTGATTTGCAACAAGTTCTTTTTTACCCTAATCTAACCCACCCTCTTGTTCATAATATAGTGAGTAATACTGCTACAATGATGCTGTGGAACGAAGTAATTGCGCACGGAGGCTCCACTGAGATAGTATCAGTATTGCTACTTTATATAACTGAAAACTTCAATCGTCTTGATCCAGGCCAAGAAAGAAAACTTGTTATTTGGTCAGATAGATATGTCGGCCAAAATAACAATTGGAAAGTCATAACATTACTTCGACTACTACTGTTAGAAAAATTCCCCCATAGAACGCAACAAGAAACTTTCATCGGTTTTTATCCCGTTTCAGTGGATAGATGTAATTACAAAAGCTAGAGTTAAAACCCCATTTAAATTTATCAACGCAGAAAATGTAGCGTGGAAAAATCCAAAGTGCAAAATAACTCAGTGTGGATACAAATTAGCTCACATGATCCAAATACTATACAGTAAAGAAAATCCCACAACATTATTCAACCATGATCGTCTTATACTTTAAAGTCAACTAAAACGCCTATAACTGAAGTCACTCTTGATGAACATGCCAATATATTAAATATTGTCAAATACAGGGTGAGTCATAACTATTGCGACGTAGACTAAGTACAGCTTATTTGGACCAAAATATGGCTATTGGGCCAAATATGCCTTAATAAAATGTTGCTGAGAAAAAAGATACAAGGTGTTAAAGTTCATTTTTGTTTTTCGTTTTTTGCTAATAGTTTCCCTGTATATTTATAAATTGCTATCAAAATTGGCACAAAGGCATAATCTTAGACAAGAAATAGTATTTGATTTACAATTTCACTATCAAATATCAAACTAATAAACAAAGTTGCAACTAACGCTAGGTTTCCGTTTTGACGATAAATCAAAATTAAACACACTTTAACTTACACACTTTAACACTTTAAGAACTCACAAAAACTCAAACCAAATGTTCTACATGGTCTCCTCCGATTTCTATGCCTTTTCTAATTCTTTTTATAAAGAATTTTCGGACGTTAAAAAAATATTATTCTGCCCCTTATAAGATTAGCTGCATTTTGAATGTATCTCCAAAGTTCGTCTCGTGTATTAATTTCATTGGCATAAACTGAGCACTTCATATGTCCCCAAAAAATAAAAATCTAGGGGGTTGTACTCAGGACTTCTTGGTGGCCATTGAAAATCACTGCCTCTGTCAATCCGTCGTTGAGGAAATACGTCATTAAGATGATTGCTAACAGCTAATGAAAAATGAGGTGGCGCTCCATCCTGCATAAACCACATTTTTCGTTTTACATCCAGTGACAGATCATCTACTTAAGGTCCTAGTAGTTGGTCGCCTATAATGGCCAACCAAATATTCAATTTAAACTCATGCGAAAAATGTCTAGCTTTAATAGCATGCGGGTTTTCTTCTTCCCAATAATGACTATTTTGCCAATTAAAAACCCCTCGTCTGGTAAAATTTGCTTCGTCGGTAAACATAATATTCTTAATAAAGTGTCTGTCATTGCGATGTTTATTCAGAATACGTTGGCAAAACTGTAACCGTCGTGGAAGATCTGTTGGAAGTAAATTTTGAACAGAAGTGAAGTGATAAGGATGGAGGTTCTCTTTTTTTATAATTCTAACAATAGACGACTGACTTACTCCTGTTGCTGCTGATATATGTCGTGAACTTATTTCAGGATTTTCATCTACTCGAACCAAAAGTTCATCTTCTTGATTAGGTGTAATTTGTTTCGGTCGGCCAATCCGATTTTTAGTCTGAAATGACCCAGTTTCACCTAAACTACGAAATAATCTTGCAAAAGTTTTGTGATTTGATTGCCTTCTGTTTGAGTATAACATTCCATACCTTTTGGCTGCCGAGCGACCGCAAAATTTTCTTGTGCGTATACGCAAATCATATGTCGCATTTCTTCATTAGTAAAATGATTGTGACGAGGCATTTCAATCAAAAAAAGTAATGATTACTTTTAAAAATGCAACATTACACTACACTGTCACATCAAAAATAATTTACTCTGAACAAATGACATTTACCAACAACAATGATGTGACAGTCCAAAGAATACTTTTCATAAATGAAATAATATTTGAAATCCTTTTTTAAGACTCTAAGCAGTTCGACTGCGTTTTTATCGGAAACGGTTGAAATTATCATGTTTAAACAAGAGTACCAATTTTACGTAAAAATAATGTTTACGTCATATTTTTTGATAAAAATTACTAAAAAGTTTCATCAGAAAAACTTTAGAGTCAATTTGATCATTAGGAATGATCCACGTGGCACCCTCTGTGACAAAACGTAAAATTGTAAATAAAATACTATTTCTTGTCTAAGATTATGCCTCTGTGCCAATTTTGATAGCAATTTATAAATATACAGGGAAACTATTAGCAAAAAACGAAAAACAAAAATTAACTTTAACACCCTATATCTTTTTTCTCAGCAACATTTTATTAAGGCATATTTGGCCCAATAGCCATATTTTGGTCCAAATAACCTGTCCTTAGTCTATGTCCCAATAGTTATGACTCATCCTGTATATTCCACTACAGTATGTAAGCTAGTATCAAAATTTAAGAGTGAATAATATTTTATATATAATAATATCTATAGTCTTTCTCAGACCCTTCTTTCAGCGCGTCATTAATTGTAACGTCATATAATGTATTGGATGTGTCGAGAATTATTTCATGTAATTATTGAGGAATCTGACAGATGCCAGGACCGTACTTACTTTTATTGCAAGGTGAATTAAAAACTAATATTTTACGTTTCTTAATTTCACGTGTACTTCATTTTTTATTTCTAAAATAACATTGTTCTGAAGCTATTTTCTTGTAGCATTTTAAATTAATTACTATTTAACTGGAGAATACGCCACAATTAAAGATAAAAATACGTTTATTGACGTTTCAATTTCCACTTCGGAAATCGTTCTCAAAATACAAACAGTAAATTGAGATTTTTATTTACTGTTTGTATTTTGAGAACGATTTCCGAAGTGGAAATTGAAACGTCAATAAACGTATTTTTATCTTTAATTGTGGCTTATTTCCAGTTAAATAGTAATTAATTCTAAAACAACGTTATAACCGCTTTACTTCACACTACAACATTTTAACTCACGGACATTTAACACGTTGTTTTATTAAAATGTAGCACTACATGTTCGTAAATGCTTGTTTTGTATAACCTAGGATTATTTTTGTTGATCATAATGTTATTCATCGTATAGTCTATCACAGTGTTTTCCAAAGTGGGGATCGTGAT